TATTAACTTTTAAAAATTATTAATAAGAATTTCAATTATTAATATTAAAAAGAATTTCAATTGTTAATTAATAATTAATAATTAAAATTCTTATAAATAACTAATGTTTGAAACTTTTGTTTATAAATAATAAATGAAATTCTTATTAACAATTAATAACTAATAATAAGAATTTCAATTATTAATTATTAATAAGAACTTCAATTATTAATTATTAATAAGAATTTGAATTATTAATTATTAATAAGAATTTCAATTATTTATTATTAACAAGAATTTCAATTATCAATTTTTAATAAAAATTTCAATTGTTAAATAATAATTAATAATTAAAGTTCTAATAAATATTGCATTAATTGAAACTCTTGTTAATAATTAATAATTGGCACTCTTATTAATAATTAATAATTATTAATAAGAATTTCATATATTAATAAGAATTTCAATTATTAATTATAAATAAGAATTTTAATTGTTAAATATCAATAAGAATTTCAATTGATAATTATTTATAAGAATTTCAATTGTTAATTAATAATAAGAATATCAATTGTTAATTATTAATAAGAATTTCAAAATATTAATTATTAATAAGAATTTTAATTATTAACTTTTAATAAGAATTTCAAGTATTATTTAATAACTAATAATTGAAATTCTTAATAATAATTAATAATTGAAAGTCTTATTAATAATTAATAATTGAAATTTTTTTTAATAAATAATATTTGTTAATAAGAACTTCAATTATTAAATATTAATAAAAGTTTCAGTTATTGATTATTAATAAGAATTTCAGTTATCAATTGTTCATGAAATTTTTTTTCTGATTTTGAGATGATGATGCAATGCAAGTGATGAGATGATGATGCAATGCAGGTGATGATGATGCAATGCAGGTGATGAAGATAATGATGTCTTAGCATATCCTATGACCGCCGCACAAAAAAAGAAAACAAACAGAGGAGGTTAGCTTAAATTCTTAATTTTAACATCTCAAGAAGTTAAAACGAAGTAAACCACAACAACATAAAATATCCAATTCCATATCATCTGCTATGCAACCATTGGTTGGTCCCATAATTTCATTAGCAAAATTGGATAATGTAGATGTTTTTCATGTACAACATTTTTCATCAAGTATTATTTGACCACAAACTAGGACAATCTTGGAGACGAAATTAAATAAAAAATCAAAAAAGCGACCTTTCAATAAAGAAAAATGTTAATTAACGAAAAAAACTTCAATGAACTTAGAAGTCCTTGTTAAAAATGCAAAGTGACTTTAGAGAAGATAAAGATAAAAAAAAGGAGGTTGAACGCAAGGTATACCACATATGGTACCACAATAAATGTCAGGGTATGAGAGTTTTTTATCTGTATTTGTTTTTATAACTATTTTTATTAATATCTATTAAATATTTGAAATTTTTTTTCTTATCATCAAACATAAATACAATGTTGTGCTATATAAAAATTAAAATCATGGCTGGTAAAGAAAATTAAAATTAAATTCCTGGCTGGTAAAAAAAAATTAATATGAAATTCATTGCTAGTAAAAAAAATTAAAATTAAATTCATGGCTGGTAAAAAAAATTAAAATTAAATTCATGGCTGGTAAAAAAAATTAAAATTAAATTCATGGCTGGTAAAAAAAATTAAAATTAAATTCATGGCTGGTAAAAAAAATTAAAATTAAAATCAGGGCTGGTAAAAAAAATTAAAATTAAATTCATGGCTGGTAAAAAAAATATTTTACTTATATTTTTTTTTTTTTTTTTTTTTTTTCTATTTTTTTTTATTTATTTCGTCAGTAAAAAAAAAGAATACAATGTCGTGTAAAATAAATAAGATCAATATGACCGGGGTTAAAAGAAGACAATACTAGCCTTATCACTACACCCCGACGTGCTTTCATAAGCAAGCGTGTACAACCATTAAAAGTTAAATATACAATTACTTTGTGCCATTTAAAAAAATTATATACAATTATTTACAAGTATGTTAAGACTAGTTACTAATCTATAATCAAAAGAAAATAGTAAAAAGAAATTAAAAAAAAATAAATAAAATAAAATCAAAACTATAGATAAGCTAATAGGATAGTTTATAGAGTTAATAAGATAATTGTTAAAAATAAAGAAAAAATAAAAATAAAAAATTTTTAAAAAGAATTTAATTCATTAACATTGTTAATAAGTTTTTGTTTCAATTTTTTTTTGAATAGGTAAAGAGAAGAACAATTTTTCAGCTCGTCACTTAATAAAGCGTTCCGTAATTTAGGACCTCTTATAGCAATAGAAAATTTGGTAGCTAAATAATGCATTTGAGGTTGCTCATAATTGTGCTTAGAAAATCTTGTAGAGTACATGTGATTAATTTTATTGAAAAGAGTACTAAATATTATAGGTGATACTTTATTATGAAGTTTGTACATAAAAATAAGAACTTGATAAAGGTTTAACTGAAAAACATTGAGTATGTGAAGATTATTAAATAGTTCTTTAGTATGTGTGAATCGACCTGCATTTGAAATAATTCTGACAGCATGTTTTTGTTTAATAAGCAGTTTTTTAATTTTACTTATATTAGAGCTGCACCAGGCAATGTTTGCACAGTTTATATAACAATGTATGAGGGAGAAATATAAAATTTTTACGCAGTTTTGGTTTAAAAACTGCTTGGCTTTGAATAGTATACCAATATTTTTTGAAACTTTATTTTCTATTGTACTTATGTGTTCTCTCCATGTTAAGTTTTCATCAAGTATCACTCCTAAAAATTTTATTGATGACTCTCTAATTATTTTAGAGATGCCAATAAAAAGATTAGGAAGTTTTAGTGGAATGTTTTCTTCATCGTGAACTCTATAAAAAAAAGTATACTTAGTTTTATTTAAATTTAAGGACAATTTGTTCGCCTTGAACCATACCGCTAGATTTAAAAGTTCTTTGTTTACTACTTTAAATAAAAGTTTAATATTTCCATTAGAGTAAAATAAATTCGTGTCATTTGCAAATAAATAAAAAAAAAAATATATATATATATATATATATATATATATATATATATATATATATATATATATATATATATATATATATATATATATATATATATATATATATATATATATATATATATATATATATATATATATATATATATATATATATATATATATATATATATATATATATATATATATATATATGTTCATTAAGATATCAATCAAACATAATTACAATTTTGAGCTATTTAAAAATTAAATTTATGGCTGGTAAAAAAAATTAAAATTAAATTCATGGCTGGTAAAAAAAAAAAAAAATCATGGCTGGTAAGAATCAGATATTATTTGTCTTGTCACTACTGCTTGTAAACTGTGATGTGTTGAAACCATATTATAATTACACATTTTCAATTACAAATGAGAACTTGAACTTAGAATCCTATTAATGCATAATGCATCATTGTCTATAAATAACCTGTCAAAAGTATTTGAAGAGTGGATGTTGCGAGGTTTGATTTCTCATGGTAATAATGTTATTGCAATATTTGGCTGTATGTCCCTTGTTTTCGATTTTATTTATTTTCAAAACATTTAAATGTATAACATGCTGTTTAGGTTGGGTTGAAAAACAACATAAATAGTTCATGAAATTTTAAACTCTTTTATTGCGTATTATGTTTTTACTATACCGCAAATCGGTAGACGTTGGGTTCACGCAAGTTATACGCAATAAGCTGCGATTAATCATTAATCTAATTATATTATTACTTTATTGATTGGGGGAGTGTCACTCTTCCCCCACACACACCCTCATTGCTCCAGCCTAAGAGAGAAAAGACATAAAATAAAATACCGTTACAAAATGCCAAGGTAATTATCCTGATGAAAGTCTGATATAAAAACTGATTGATTATATATAACCGAAATCTGCAAAAAGTATAGAAATCCTATTCTATTGGATACGGGATCGTAAAAACGTACTAAACTTTTAAAAGACATATAATGGAATTTTTTTTTACTTTCTGTGAAGGTTATGATTTAAGACGAGAAGTTATCTTACTAAATGTAGTTTAAGAAACTGCTCATCTACTCACAACTATATATACTTTGCCGATATTGCCTGAAAAAATACAGATTAAAATCAGTTACAGCGTCTTTACCACCTTCATAAACTTGGGCTTAATATAATTTTATGTTTTTAAGATACTATTTTTAACCATTTATTATTTCAGCAATTTCAGATTGTTATTTTGTTTAAAAAAGGCGATAAGATTAATTAGATCTTCTTTCAAACTTTAAGTTTATATTAATCAACATCAAACAATGTAAACTGAAAATTAGACTTAAATTTTTTAAAGCCAATTTAAAAAAAATGCTTATCTTAAGTCAGCAAATACTAAGCACGAAAATTTTTATTGTCAATGGCATAACTACCCTAGTCAAAAAGTCCCATAAGGTTTTCAAATAAAAATGTCTGAAATGACAATCATTAGAATTTATAACATTTAAAGTGACTTTTTTCTGAACGTTTCACGAAGGTTTAAATACTTTAGCAAAACATTTTCTTTTCTTTTCAAACAAATCCTGCGTTTGTTGAAAAGTGGTATTACTTTTTATATCATAACTTATCTTTAACTTCTTTATTTATTTTATTTTTATTTTTATTTGTATTATGTTTATATTAGAAGAGAAATATATTAAAAAACGAAAATATAAACTTTTTAGCGTTAGCAAAACAATTTTTAGAGGTATGTATATTTAAGTACTCTCTTAGGTAAAATTGCTTTAATTGCATTATTATAAATTCCACACCAAAAAAATGCAATACTTGTATTAAATCTATTAATACGATATAATACAAATATTGGAAAGCAAAGTCTATTTTTAAATCAAAATCAAAAAGAGGGTTGAAAACGAACCAATTAATATTAACTAAATTTATTTTAGTATAATACTTTATAACTCATACATAAATAAACAATCGATAAAATAAAAATAAAGTTTTTTTTAATATTCAATTCTTATTGTTTTGTAACGAAAAAACCTTCTCCTTGTTTTTCTGAATCGGTCTGAAGTTATCACACATTAAATTATTCTGATTATTTGAGCTACCCATTCTTGAGCGAAGCTTTCGGAGTGTTTCCAACTAAAAAATGATTAATGAAACGTATTAAGTCGTTTAAACATATTTAAATAAAAAATTAAAACTGTTTTTTTAACAGTTATACAATTAGGTTGTTTATAAATATTGCATATTTTTTTTATATAAAATATATAGTACATGTATTTAGAAAGTTAATAGCATAATAATATTTTATTAAAGCCAAAAAAACCTTACAAATTTAGTAGGCACTTTATGTTTAGAATTAACCACAACAAACCATTGTGCATCTGAGCAGGGCGGATATGTTAAAGAACCACGATATTTAAAAAAATTACGGTGACCAATTTTAATATCATCTGGTAAAAGACCTTCGAAGAGTTTTTGCCCACTAATTTTAATTTTAGCCGCGTCTAAATGAACAAAACATTATCCTCAATTTTAGCCACTTCTAAATATTTGTTTGCTTGCAAATGTTCGGCCGTTTAATAATACTTACATTTTAAATATTTAAGTACATTAAAAATAATTAAACTGGTGGGGCTAGATTATTTAGCCTTTTTAGCGAGCCGAATTTGTACCTGCTTACAAAAATCTTTGCATATAAATGCGTATAATGTATTTGTATAGTATATGTCAGTGTCGGATTAAGACTTCTTAGGGACTTGAACTATTTTTGTTTTTGAAGGCCTTTTTATGGGCTAGAGCATAAAAATGACTCAAAACAAATTAAGATCTTCTAAAATTTTTCGGGGCCCCTAAATTTGCGCGACCTGGGGAAATCACCCTCTAGCGACCCCCATCTCTTTGATCCGGCACTGGTATATGTACACCAATATGTTCTGAAACCCACCCGTGAAAGTAATATACTCGTTCATGTTTTTAATAAATATCATATCATATTTAGGTATTATCCCAGCCGGTATTATTACGTTGTTTCAACGTTGAAATTCGGTTGAAGCGTTGTTTCAACGTTGTTCAACTATGTTACAACGTTAAATCAACGTTACGGTTTAAACGTTGATTATTTAACATTATTTCAACGGTAACTCAACGTTACAGTTTAAACGTTAATTAATTAATGTTATTTCAACGTTAAATCATTGGTGACAAAAAATACATTACACCTTTTCACAGTTCCGATATAAACCCAGTGGGAAAAAAGACATCTTTAGACGAAAAAAAGGGATCTTTTTTATGACTTGTTTAGTCTTTTTATAATCAGCCTAAATAAAGACGTGGAAAGACGTCTTTTAAAAAGACGTCTTTAAAAATGAGGTCGAAAGTCAGTCGGTTGAACGTCTTTTTAAAGACGTATAAAGACGTCTTTTATAACGATGATCATTAAAAAAAAAAAAAAAAAAAAAAAATTTTGTTTAAATGACAAATTAAACAACAATCAGTGAGACTTTCTTTTCTTTTAGAGAGGGGAGGGGTAGTTCACTAACGTTTCCCACTGAGAACAGAATAAACGGTAAAGCAAGTGATAAATTATAAGTTTTCACTTGTTTTACTGTGCATTCTATAAGAAAAATATAATTTGCAAACTAATTTACAAAAAACGGATCAATCAGAACGTAAAAAATATGGGTTATAACCCACAATATCATAATTACGATATTATCGTTCGACTGCTTTGCTTAGTACCAACTTAAGTTGTTAAGGAAATTATAATTGTTTATTATAATTATAATTTGTTTCTAATAATTATAATTTGTTTATCATAATTATAATAAAAAATTATAATTAGCTAATTGCCAATTAGAACGTAGCTAACCCATAATATCGTATATACGATATTATGGGTTTTAGATCATATTATCGTAATTACGATATTATGGGTTTTAGCCCAAAACATCGTAATTACAATATTTAAATAGATTAAAATTTAATCCATAATTTTTTTATAAATCATAAAGTATATGATGGGTTTAAATTTAACCCATAAATATCGTATTTACAACCATAGTCATAAAAAGTATTCATTTTTATGACTATGTTACAACATTATGCGCTATAACCCGTACCTCATCTATTTTACGTTCTGATTGGCCCGTGTTTTGTACATAAAAAACTTTAAACAAACTTTATTTATGTCGCTACTATTTTCGTTGTATTATGTTGTATTATGTTTATATTTCGTTGTATTTTGTTGTATTATGTTGGTACTATTTTCGGTAAGAGGCTTTATTTTATAATTTAAGTAATAAAATAATATATTATATAACATATACATAAAAAAATGTTTATATATATATATATATATATATATATATATATATATATATATATATATATATATATATATATATATATATATATATATATATATATATATATATATATATATTATAGGATACTTTATTATAGGATTAACACATAAGCAAAGCTGGAATCCACATATAGTTAGAGTTTACAAACATTTGGTGTGTCATCTAATTTTTTAATGTGTTGTTCTTGAAGAACGTTGTTTATTACATATAAATTTTAAATATTTATTTTCAGACGAAAAAGAAACATGTGAACAATTTCTATCTATATATACGTGTTCAAATGCCAGGGAAACGGATAATAGAAAAGAAAAAGCATTAAGTAAGCTTGGAATTTTTTTAAATGTTTTTAAATAATCTGAATAATTTTGTTGTTTGTATTTAGTTAAACAATGAAATTATGACAAAAGATTCGCTCTTTATCTTTTATGTTAAAGTTGTTATTTCCTTGTTAACTGTTGTCTGTCATTAACAAAGCAAGTAAAAAATGTACATAATGACAACTGTGCTCTAGTTTGCCAGTCCCACCAAAATTGTTTTCAAAAAAAGTTGACTTTTCTTCATCTTCTGTTTCAGATGAAGGTGCGTTTATTTTTATTATTGTTATAAATTTATTTATAACAATACTAAAACTAAACGCACTTTTATCTTTATTTTATTATTGTTACAATTTATTGATATAAATAACTAATAGATGCATATTTCTCTTACAAAGTCTCACAATATAAACGTGGTAAAACAAAGATTTTTTACAGTAATGTTATCAATTACTTTAAATGAAATTTTAAAAAATAAATTCAGAGAAAACACAGCTAACATGGATCCAGAGGAACCGCTCAAGATTATGCTTGTCTATCCCAAAGCGTCCACATTCTACTATTAGTAAGTCAAATTTTGTTATGCAAGACAAAATTTTCTAATCATATCTATCAATTATATAGTCATATCAATTATCTTAATTTGGTTTATTTTATCTAATTTGTTGATTTACTCATCACAGTGAAAATTTTTTTTTGTGATTCAAAATTTTTGCTTTTGTTTAAGGTTGTGAATCATCATCTTCCTGTAAAAGACCGCAATTGAGCCTTGCAGCATCAGACCAGCTTAGTAGTAGGCTCAGAAACATTTAATCTTTAATGCAATGATGTAGAAATCCATTAAATTTTTTTTGTATTTTGCACCTCTTTTAGAAAAGGGTTGTATCTTCAAAATGCAATTAAAAAATTTGTTTTGTCTGATGCTTCCTTTTTATAATGGGTGCAATTTAATTATGTATAAATGTTGTATTTAGAATCTGAATATGAAAGTACTATACCATACTAGTACTATAGCAAAAGAATCATTGGCTTACATGTCTGGCGGTTAGTCTTATTAAATCCCATGTTCTTCGAAACCATTTGCAATGTGATTTGTTTGCTGTAAACTAGGCTTATCATTTTATTTTTTATATTTTGTGTTATTTAAAAACTTCTTACTTTAGTCAATTTTACATTATTAACTGATTGACCTTAATACAAGGGTTGAATTAAGAGAGCGAATTACAATTGTAAAAATATCTGGTCTTCAAAGTTTCAGTTTATGGAAAACCATGAATTTATGGAAGAGGCTTTAATTTGGTGAACTAGCTACAAATGAAACTTTGAAGACTAGATATTCTATAATTTTAGACTTTTTATCTAGATGATATATAGATAAATTATGATTAACTAGATAGTTTTATAATTTGTGATCGTTTAATTTAACCGTTTTAAGATGATTAAAACTTTTTTTTTTTGTTAATAAAAATAATCATTTCTGGGAATAATGTTTTGACCAATCTCCTGCTAATATTCTTGACTATCATTCATATGTAATATTTTACTATTAATTTTTCTCAGAAACAGTTGTATTTCTAAATGAACCGACTTCAAGAAAAGGTATCCTTTTTCACATTTTTAAAAATATATATAAATATATTTTATATAGATTGTATTTTTTATTTTAGTTACATCAACAATTATACTTTCGTAAAAATAGTTATACTTTTGCAAGAGCCGTAAATTGCTCCTGTAAACCGTTTGTGTAAACCGAGTTAAAGGGCGAGAGCGCAAATAAAAAAAAAAAAAAAAAGTATTAATATTAAAACGTATTCCACTTGATTCTATAAAAAAAGTACAATTATTAAAATTTTTGTAAAAAATAACTCAAAAAAATGACTTAAATAATAACGATCGCTTTTATGTTAAAAGTTACCGAAACTCAACGAAGCGTGCTCAAGAACAGCTGCTGAAAAATAAAGCGTCAATAGTTTTTCGAATAATTTTTAAGAATAACATTTAAGAATAATTTTTTTCGCTGAAATATTTCTTTTATACCTATAAGATTTTTATTCTAACATTTTATTTTATTTTACTAGAAATAAAATTCCTTGTTAACATTAAAAATCTATTCAAAACGTTCGTTTAAGTTTTTTATTAAAACGAGTGATTGTGCTTATCAACCGCTTTATGAAAATAAATAAAAATAAATAAATAAATATTATATAAAATCGTTTGTAAAAATATTAGCTATTGCACAGTTTTTAATCGTACAATATTAAAATTTCCAGTTTATTACTCGCTGACTTTTTAAAAAGAAAAAATAATTATATGAAAAACTTTTAAATTACACATTTAAGAAAAAAAAAATCAAATATTAGCATATTTTATAATCTTTTTTAAATTTAAGTTATAATGTTTTTTATTCGTTTAGTATAGACAAAACGTGACACTCGTTGAGAAAATAA